TCTGTGAACACGATGCCACAGATTAAAGCCTATTCACAGTAACGCAGACCAGTAGCCCTAGATTCGTCTTACATTCAGACTGTGATTGGTTGTTCGTCTTTTTCCTCACCGTTCTCTGATTCAACTTCCACAGGCTGGAGGCTATTCGAGCATTGCACATCACACGGGCAACCATCCGATTTTCGTCCCTTCTCCAATCGTGATTCCACATTGTCAGTGTCATTCTACACCAATCGTTTGCCATTGGACCAAATCCGGGCGATCGAGATTATTCGCCTGCACTGGTGGTCAACCCACTGGTGATATCTGCTAGGAAATCATAATTCAGTTCAGTTCAATTGAACTACTATGATCCGAGCACCGGAATGCGGCGGATCCAGTTGCCCCGACTCACACCGTAAGAAGACCAATAAATAACAATGGCAAGCTAGTGGGATTGGGTACAGATAGAACATAGAGAAAATGGAAGCAGGTAGGGAATGCGTCAGACCAACCAGCATGGAACGAAAAGTAACAACCAGATGAAAGAAGTCGAATGTAGGAACGCCACTGAGTTCGTGACTGCGCCATGTCTGACAGGGTCACCAACCGTTGGTGTGGACCATCCCGAGGCCCCTATCCACGGAGATAACACGCGCCAGCCTGATCAACACTCTCAGTCAATTTCTTCAACCCACTACGCCACGTCATGGACTGGCCACCTCGCGGTTCCACCCAACTTGGTGCAGCCACGGCGTATAATGCACGCTGAAAAAGCCGACCAACGGGCATGTGGAGAACATGGGCTAGCCAACGCAAGCGGCTAAGATTAAGCAATCGACTAAAGCACCAGAAGGCTTTTGCCAAAAACCAACTGGCGGACCTCACCCGGTGTTCCCACCAAACGTGAGCAATACTCCGCAAGCACCAGTGGTCCAAACACGAACAAGAGTTTGATTTCGCCGTTACGAACTGCCCAGGTCCCTGATCCATACAGTAAAACCGGCCTTATCGCAGCGTTATACACCCTACCTTTTAATGACAAGCTAATATCCCACCGTCACCATAGATGGTTGAGCTTCTCGAAAGCCACACGAGCCTTTCTGATCCGCGAAGTAACTTCCTCAGTAATGTGACCACCAGAGATAAGACATCTACCAAGGTAATTGATCCGAACCACTACATTCAGTGGCTGTTCGGCTATAGATAAAATCGGAGGTGTCAGTCCAGTCCTGCAACAGTACTTTGCACTTCCATCATTATACGTTAGCTAGAGGTGGGAAACACCTCAGCTACTGTGCTGCAATACATAAAAGAAAAAATGCAACAGGTGCAAACCAGCTGAGCTACCGGTAACGGATGGGCATCGTTCCGGTAAGCTACCAGCCGGCGACTATGCAACAAAAACGAAATTTACAATGAAAAATTATATAAGGCTAGATAGTGAGATCGTGGTTGGAGGGGGAGGCTAAAAGGGAGGGGTGGGACAAAGAAACACAAAGCACGCTCTGCGCTTTAAGAGTGCAAAAAACATGCCAAAGCGTGAAGCGCTATGCATCGTTCTATCCAGTAGTGTTTGTAATCAGCAGACTAGTGATGACCTGAGGTCAAAGCCCTTGATCAGTCGGACGGTAACTAGAACGGTCTGTCTCTGCAATTTGGTTCACGTTTTCGTCCCAAATAGACTCAATCTTGCTGCGTGTACGTCTTTTGTTCTTCCTTTTACTGTGGGTTCGTCTACACTAGAAGTTCGATACAATATTACTCCAAAATGTGAACATAATGACATGTCCGGATAGAAGGTAGGCTTTGCATATAGTCTTTGACACAACAGTACAAATACTGGGCGGACAAGCCTCAACTTTTGTTCATGAGAGAGTTAATGAGCTCATTTTCGGAGCTTCCAGTATGTGGTGGCTGAATCGTTTGAGAACGAAGTACCTTTTTTACTCCACTGGTCTGTGAACACATTTCTAATCGAATAAACCAACGATATCCTGTTTTTATATAGCGCGTTCGACAGATAATTAATAAGGGCACAATCGGATCAGTCTGATCCGGATCGGTCACTGATGCAACGTACCTCAACTAAAACACTATTCATGTTACTGGTATTATTATTGGAGGTAGAAAAAGTTGTCTCCTCAAATATCACGGTAATTTCAACTTAGAGAATTTATAATTCGAGTATATGGTGAAGCGCATGGTTGAAAATTTTATTGAACTGTACAGTAATTTAGAGGGGTTCTGCTTGCATCGATGATCAGCTAAAAAACGACGCACACAGGTGCATTGCTCTGTTCAAACGGCTTTCAGTGCAGAGATTCTCTGGCATCTTCCAACTAGGAAACGAGCAGCTATTGACCATGAAGTGACAGCTGCTGAGTGCTTCACCCAGTAAGGCGCAACTATGGTACATCGGCTGACACGAACCGTGTGTTCAGTCAAAGCCAGTTCTGTCGGTCAGTCACCGTCTGCCATCAGTCAAGGTGCTATGATGGTGAAAACTTGAAAAATGGACGACTATCATGGAAAAGAAGTAGGTTACGTTAAATGGAGTGCAAAAAAATAAAATCGAGAGGGAAAAGTTAAGAATCAAAAACCCGTGACCAAATACAAAGGCAGCGCTGAATCCACTGCTGAACCATGTACGGTGGGAGTGGTTCATCTCAAGGCTGCTGTTCGGAGGAGCGAGGTGCACTAACCGAGTGCAAGTATTCGGTTGGTCCATCTTAAGTCGTTATGATTTCATTTACGGATTTCGATGAATTAGATAACGGCAAATTGTTGCAGAGCCCGCAGAACTCCGCGAAACTTGCGCAGATTTCGCCCGAACTGACATCAGCCACGCCTACCCCATGCGGCGACTCAGAGTGCGCAGATAACAGCAGAGACATGCACAGAATATTGCTGTATTAACTGCCCCTGAGCTCTCCTCAGGTACTGCGGTAGCCACCACACCTACTGACCACAAGTGAGTTTGCCTCACGACACCACTACTACGTGACAATTCATGTGTTCTGCTAACATCGGCATTTCTCCGTAGTAGGCTGCTATACTACTGAGGTATGGTCACAAAGATGTAGGAGGCATGATTTGTCTTTAACTGAGTCAGTAAACGAAGTTCTACTATCTGCCCGTCCCTCTTACCCGCGTCTCCGTATAGTCATGTGAGGCTACACATTTCGTTCCCAGTCACGGCTCGTGTGCACATCTGCTGGCCAAGCCAGTTTGGTAGTACCAAACCGAATTCGAGTGGCTGCTCTGCGCGTGGGGTACGAACGGTAAAGTGTTTTGTCTGCTCCGACCATGAGTCAAAACAACTAGGACGTGTAATTGACTCGGTCATAGCAAAAAACCGTGAACAGTGGCGAACATGTTGCGAGGTTCTAATCCTGTAAATACAGTTTAACATACTCACAGTCTTCATTACCGTCGTGTTATATTTAGTTATATGCTGGCATTCGGTCAACTGTACTATTGGTCAAGTGTTCAACATTAATTGACAGTTTCTCGCAACAGGTTACAGATCAGTCGTCTATAGGCCTAAAAAGCATTAGAATACAGTTTCAACCTTTTAAGCATCATCAGTAGTGCGCGTCCATCGGATCCATCAGGATTCGAACCCACGATCACCAACCAGTGGCTTGCATCGCCAGTCAGCAGTTTATGTCTTAGGACCACGGGGAACAGTGTGGATTTGTAAAGTATGATGATCCGACACTGTCCCACATGGCCTTAGGGCATAAACTGCTGACTGGCGGCGCAAGTCACTGGTTGGTGGTCATGGGTTCAAAACGTGATGGACCCGATGGATGTGCACCATTGATGCCCAAAAGGTTGAGACTGCAGTTTAATGCCTTTCCGGACATGTGGACGACTATCTAAGTTGGAACCTGCCGCAACGAATTCTCAAGTAACTGCACCGAAATCCCCTACTCATGAGTATATATATATATATATATATATATATATATATATATATATATATATATATATATATATATATAGGACGTTTTACAACAAAATCACATCGAGGCAACCGGCCGGCGAGAACGTCAGCGTGAGCGGTACGAGTCCAACAGATACACCAATGTCACATCAAACACACAAAATGTCGGACTCCGACAGTACTCATACAGCGTTTCCACTAAACATGAGTAGGTAGGTAGAGACCCGGCACATAATGCCCTCAAATCACACTGCGTATGACACTAAGACAACAAAAACAACATGCGACAATGCAGTAAAGCTTGCATACAACAGTTGGGCGTGTTTCAGCGTTTCCTTAAGTGGCTGATACACTATAAAGCCAGGTTAGCCTTGATAATGCGCGCAGTAACGTTCACATTGAGTCGAATAGCCTAGGTGAATTCAATGAACATTAAAAGAAGTTGCTACGTAAGCAGCAGTTCGGTTCCGTTACACGACTGTGATGATTATTGTCGGAAGATTGTCTACCATCTCGCCACAGACGTGGAAGGTTATTATGACGTTCCAGTACAGCACATGAAAGTGTTCACATTTCATGAAACATCTATACTGTAAGTCTAACAGACGGAACGGAGCGAGCGACTGAATCGGAAGCACCTTTCAAATGGGGGAGGAGAAATCATGGCTGTCCTGCGGTACATGTGATGCGCCATTGACGCACGACATGGACTGTTTGCAAGATTCGAATAGCACACAACTGTGACAACCATACAGTTAGACAACGACAACCAGGTCAGAGTAATTAACTGTGGTATGCTGAAGGAAAAATACAACAAATTAAAACGAGTACTTAGGGTTAATATTTAAGAACCGCCCCAGATAACGTACAAGAGATTTGCAGCTGGAAAAGATAACTATACCGAATGGAAACCGTTTTGACTAACAAAGCGCGACCAAGTACGTGATATAAATACCGCTGTATAGACCAAAAGTGGCACATAATTGAGCCATCATTTCCGGACTAGAGCATAAATGCATGTTAGAACAAATAGGTTATACCAGAAGAATGAAAAAAAGAATCGACTTACACTGCGCAGCCGGATATCTCCACTCATGGCAATCAGATACGGCTGTGGAAAATGCGTACACTATCGAAAGAGATCGGACACCGCTTGTCTTATTTATCCATGCGCATTGCAGAAGTGGCCAATGCACAATTGACTAGTTACGAAAGCTAAAAGATAACAAAGTGATAAGCGCACTGAGTGGGCAGCAGATAATATAGGTGTAAAACAACAACAGAAGAGACAAGTTAGACTACTGAGGTATTTCAACAAATCATTAAAAAGCATCAGAGGCAGAAAAGAGTGGAAGTAGTCTTCTACATATACTGAAGTATTTGCGTGTCCGCAAAACGGGAAAACGCATCAAGCAAAGCATCAAGTTCAGTCCAGATGCCAGACAGAAAAAGCCTGAAACTCGAAAGTCGGTGGGGTAGTGACGTAGTGTATAACCCCAATAGACTGTTATAACAGCTTACAGCACCTATGTCAGCATACCAAAATCTTCGGAACCGAGGTTTATTAGAGTATTAGCCAAACACGGGTAGAAACGGACATCACTAGTAGAGGCAGATCAATATTTAGTACAGATGACTCACCAATATACTTTGTAGGTGGGTCGAAATACGTTCGAAGCGCCCAGACTTGGGCAAAAAGGACCAAGATTATAACCGAGAACCTAGTTCAAAAACCTGCCAGTAACACAGTAAGAATATGTAAATATATGCTAAGGTAAATAAAAAACAATCTATAGGCACGAAGGAACTGTTGACCTAAATTGCGATAATGAATCAAATCGATAGGGGTAATCATCAAGGCACACAACAATAACCATTAATACAGCTCAATGAGTCGAAGCGACACGCAAATCATTGTAATACTCATAAGCAGGATCTTCGGTCTAACTTATACGCCCGCGTCCGCAAACCGATGGTGTGAGGCGTTCGCCTTGTAGTTCGATGGTCGCCGTTTCGAAACTACGCAGCATTTCTAGTTCGCGTACGACCTGTAATGGCTGTGTAGCAACGAAGTGTTGGAACAGCGTGCCGCCGTACTACTGACGCTTCCATACGAGTGACTCCAAGCGTAGCTCAAATAAGCTCGGAGGTACGCAAGTCATTAGATAACGCTGAGTTAATTTAGTAAAGACGACACTGGCTATCTACTGAAGAGTAGATGTATGTGTGTGTGTGTGTGTGTGTGTGTGTGTGGGTATGTGTGTATGCACCGACTGTGGTGCCTAGAGCAACTTATCCAATGGAAATGAAAGTAAGTTGCACAGTGATCAACGGGTTCGATAAGTTGGGAATGGCTTTAAAAGTTCAAGACAATTCAAATATCGTAGAAAAAATAAAGACGAAGACTACGTGAGAACAGTGTGACCAGATGGAACTATAAGGGAAAGCAAAAGAGAGCGAAAATCAATGCCAGACGGAAGCATCGCTCTTCCAACAAATCCACACCACCAGTCCCGGAAGAGCACCCACCAATGAGATTTATGGAAACCACCGGCGTCCCCATTCACAACAAGAAACGTCATCTGTATCACTAAGCAGAGTACTTACAGGAAAAGTTCAGTTAACGCGTTGCCTCTCAACTGCGCCTTGCTCAAACGGCCCATGCTGTCACCGTAAAGCTAGATAGTGAGCACCATCAAACGTACTACGGGAAAACTACGGCTATGTTCCTCCAACTAGAAAGAGCGCTCGGCTCCACCAACGCATCATTCCGTCTGATTCAGTTTCCGTGTATAATAACAGAACAGTAGGAGACAGTTTAGCGAGCGATGAAGCAAGACCTGATAATACACGCTTTGTTCGTCTGTGAATAGAGGCGGGAGCAGTGGTAACGACAAGTGTGCATAGAGGAATTAATATCATATTCTACCTCACTGAGGTTGGGAAGAAATCATATAACAAACAAATGTAACCTTGAGGCAGAAGTGGTGTATGGGAACAGCGTTATTGAAAATTTGTGAGTGGCTACGTTCCACGCAAAAGAGCTAATGCTCAGGCCTTTGTTTCTGAGGTAGTATGGAAGCGTGCGTTATTGGAGTGCCTCAAGTTCGCTCCTTGAGAATATTTCTGTAAAATTTGGTTAATAGTCCGAAGCATATCATTTTCGTTGCGAAGGCGATCGTTTGTTCTGGACCAGTGTTAATCGTTCTCGAGATGTTCGCACATGGATGCCAGTTGTCGGATGCACACGATCCCTTCTTCCGTTTGAGCTTTGAACATGTGCGTGTCGAGAGTTACACTCTATTCGTTGCATTTGTTCCACGAGTGGATCGGACTTGGAGAACCGGACGCACTTCCGCAGCAGGACAAGCCGGACTCGGTGATGGCAGCCATGTGCGAACAGAAAAACCAGACGAAGACAGACTACGTCTGAAACGTCAATCGTGCGTAGTGCACAGAAACGATTGCATCGAATGTAAAGCATCAAGTAGGACGATCCACCACTGGTCAACTTGAAGGTTACGGGAGCGTAGGGCGAGAGAAACAGCTCTCCCCCGTGTTCCATTCAGGCGTCCCACCTGCCTATTAGCTTGTGGATGATATGCGGTTGTTCGTTGTTGTTATTCCTTTGTTATTAAGAAAACCCCGCAGTTCACGCGACATAAAAGGGGACTATTGCCTGAATAATTGTAGGTTGGGATTCTAAACGTCGAAAAGGGCTGACAGACGCAGCTTTTTACAGTAAAGATCAAATGGAAGCACGCAAAAATTAATGAAAAACAAGAGAACTCATTCACAGTAAGCAATAAATAACGATTTTGCGATTTTAAGGAATAGGGACCTACAAGATAAACACTAAGGCGTTCAAACGGCTGAGTCACTTTTCCCAGTTGGTCCAAAGGGGTCTGAAGAAACTTCGCTTTATGCTCAACACAAATCACATAACTAAAAACCACTAATCTGATTTCAGCTATATAATACGGCAGGATGTTAGCGCGGGCGAAGTGAATCATGAGTTATGCCCAGGTGACGGAGGATCATGGAATTGTTTTAGGTTCGAATTGCCGGACGACCTGCTGCAGCAGGTACGTGAGAATTCGTCTGGTCCATGATTAAACTTACCGGGTTGGTATAAACATCGTAGTGGAAGGTCACAAGTCTAAGCCTCCAGTGTTGTATTTTGTCGTTTCTAATTTTCTTATGGCACATACTCTTGTGTATGAAAGACACAGAATGTTGACCAATGAACAACTTGAAGTGATTACCAAATCGCAGATGTCACCATTTTCGCACTAGCTCAACGATCACGTAGGCATGTTTTTCTACCGAGAAATTGGGCTATTCAGTGGACGATAAAATGCGAGAAAAGGAGGCTACTGGCCTTCCAAGCTGGTTCAAAGTAGTCAAGATAGCCACATCATAAGCGTGCTTCAGCCACTAAATGTGCATAGGAGCCGGTCGAGTTAACTACGACACTATTAATCTCTTCCGGTAATTCATCAATGGACATTTGGACAGAAAGTCGTATTAGAAATTCGGTGTTGTGAAAGAGTGGACTGATCTTTTCAAACAAGTGGGGTATCTAGCAGGATTAGTAAACAAACATCCCTGTCACTCTAGGTTGAACTTCGATGTCGGTGAGAGAAGACAATTCCTGCAAAAGTCTCAATCGTTCGGGGTCTGACATAACTATTGCTCACGATATTTCATATCCCAGAAGTCTAAGCTGCTTGACTCAAAAACGTTTTTCGTGTCACTGAAGGTGATACTGCAGTTTAAAGTGATGCTCAAAAGTGATTCAAATTCCGTTCAACAGGGTTGTTTCTCTGGACGGTGGCGTTTTTATGTTAGAGAATGTATCAGGCAAAGTTGCTTCCCAAATTATTTCATCAATGGTTCTTTGAAAGCAAGAGACGCTATTGGTTACTCTGAAAGGTATGTGACGGAATCGACAAAGTTTGCAACAGACCCCTAAGGCCGTTTATGGCCGTTCCTCGGGCTTGATGAGGATTTGGCGATAAGCACTGAAACCAACGTAATGAGTGTTTCGAATAAAGCGGTTTTCTGGGTCAATTTGTCTAATTTAGACGAAATAAGTGGCTGTAATCTATACTAACCGTCATGTGAAGGTAGTTAGCAGCATCTGAACTGCTGTACCCACGAACGCCGCGGATTTTTGAGCATTGCTTCTGGATTCTACTTTCGCTTCTGGATTACTGTGTTATTTGTGTTTCATCTGTGTAAATTGTGTACCAAAAAGTTTCTTTTTGGTGTAGTCTTCAAGTTGTGAAAATTTAGTGAGCATTCTCTCACTTGTTTCGGAGAACTTGTTGATAAATCAAATTACCGTCTGTGTCCGCCATCTTGGATTTGCTCCAACGTGTGATGCCGTGCCAATCTACTTGTGGCTCATGTTCGAAAGTTGTAGGACAAAAGGCCCATGCACTTCGTTGTTTCGGCTGTGATGTTCTGTTTCATATTTCGTGTATCGGCCTATCCGTGGAAGTTTTCCGAAAATCTGTTGACATCCGACATAGATTTTTCCAAGTTGTGTGTGATAAATGCCGCGGTTTACTACAACAAAATACACGGAGACCATCACTACCGGCTCCGGGAAAAGCCATCTCCCAGACGAAACCACTTCATTCAGCTCGTGGGGTCAAACGCGCTCGTGAGAGTACCTCTGTGAACTCCTCTTCCCCTGCAACTCCACGATCTGCACCACCGCCAGCGTCTTCTACCCCTACCGATTCTCACAACCAATGTTCCCCACAGATTGACGACTCAGAGTCGGAGCCCCCTAATCTTTCAGCGCATACCTGTGAACCTCTGAACACTGAAGATAAATGGATCATTCAAAAACGCAAAAGTTCACGCAACAACTTTAAACCTCTCCCTAACGACAGACGACCGTCCAAAACCACAAGCCCCTCCACTCCTGCTGCCTCAAGTTCGTCACCGATCTCCCTGAGGCGTTATAATCTCATGGTGTTCCATGCACCAGAGTCGAAAGATGAAAACCCTCAGAAACGTTATGATCACGATGTTGAGTTCCTTCAGGGGCTCGTTGATAAACTGTTGGATGTGGGTGAAGGCAGCGTAACGATAAAACAAGTAGTCCGACTTGGTCAGCATACTAACCAATCATGTCGACCTTTAAGAATCACCTTTGCTGACCACAGCACGCCACAACTCATTCTGTCTCATCTCTCCAG